AGTTTAATTTGGGCTCAGTTCAAGACCCATGAAAATATATTTTTCGGTAAATTAAATAATAATAACATAGACAAATATAATACAATAAAAGATAATCATTGAACTTCACCAAGCGGGTCCAATATGCCGCACGCCTCATTGAAAGGTGAGATGTTCATCAGATCTGGAATCGAATTCTCAGTTGTTAACAACTAATAAAATTAACTCATTAACTATTGCCTTTGTTAAGAAAAAAAAAAAAAAGAGATAATCATTATATTTTGTTAATACCTCTTTACTAATAAGGCTTTATTTGAAAATATTTCTCAATGTTTTACCTTTTAATTTCTATGCATTTTTATTACTTTAATTTAAAAATATATAAAATATTAATTAAAATAAATATTAAATTTATAACATATATTTTATATATTTTTAAGAGATTAAAAGACAAAAAAACCTTAACAAAATATTTTCAAACTAAATATTAAATTTCAACTCAAAATTTTTAATTTAAAATTTTAAAATTTTAATCATTTAAAACACCCACCATTTTTTTACTTTAATTATATAATAAAAAGCAACTATTTTTAATTTTTTACCTCATTTATATGCCAATATAATTTAATTTCAAGATATCTTTCTTTAAGCGAATAAAAATTACCATAAATTATATATTTAAATTATCACCTCAACAGCACCTAACTCTTGAAGTTATGACATTAGTTATTAGTGCATTCTGTTGGGTAGGGTTCGAAACCCGCCCCTTACAAAATATGTAAAAAAAAAAAAAATTATCGCCCCAACAACCCACTTAAGAGTCCGCATCAGTTGGGGTTTGTTTCAGGGAATGGTTGCTTTTAGACCTGGCAAAAATTCACCCGACCCGTCAACTCGACCCTAACCCGACCCTTAAAAAATGGGTTAGGGTTTACATATCTCAACCCGCAACCCGTAGATGACCCGTATTATCAACCCGTGCGGGTCACGGGTCTGGTTAGGGTCAACCCGCGGGTTGACGGGTTGACCCGTTTATTTTATTTTTTATT